AAGGCTGGTACTATTATGGAAGCAAGACCAACAGTTATATATATATATATATGAAATTACCAGAATAGGCCTGTTGGACAGCTTGAAACTTGTTCTTTGCTTCCTCCACATACTTTAAATTCCCAGAAGCAGAGCAACGATCTGGATGCCATTTCTATAACAAAATTCAAAATATTAATTAAATTCAACATTTTAATTTCAAGAAAATATGTATATGTATGCAGTGGCGGATCCAGGATTTTTGCCAAGGGGGTTCGAAATTGTAGAATAAAAAATTAAAATATCACTTTATAAAAATAGTGGACCAAAAATTTATAATTTATAAATTTTAGGTGAATTGTGGAAATATTTAAAGACCAAAAAGTTGAAAAATGTTAAGATTTCAAAAAAATTCCATTATTGTGAGGGTGGGTTTCGAACCCATGACCTGTTAATAGAAAAAGACATATCTTTACCACTTCAACCAACTACCTTTTCTGTTATTTTATGTATAATAGTAATATTTAGTGAAAATCAAGGGTGTGCAACTGCACACCCTAGACCATGGCTACATCCGCCACTGTATGTATGCATAGACTTCTTCTGCAGCAAAATAATCGAACAAAAAAAAGGGGTCAACTTTCATTAAATCCCACCCAACCCATAATATTTCATAACCCCTCTTTTCCGAAAACCCGCTTATAAAAATCAAATCTTTTTTCTTGTTCGATAAAAATTAAAAAAAAAAAAAAAAAAGAATCACCATTGCAAGTTTCTTGTAGGCAACCCTGAGCTCCGCCGCCGTACATTCTTTCCTCAGCCCCAGAACGCCGTAAAAATCGCTGCTTTTCTCTTCATCAGCAGCCATTCTTTTTAATTAAAAAGAAATAAAAATTCAATCTTTTTACAAGTTATATATATTATAAATTTAATTCAAGAACATGGTGATAAAATCACACCGACCGATCTGTATGGAACAACAGTACTGTATAGAAAAATACAAGTACTGGGAAAAAGATTGCTATATGGTGGGAAGTCTCTAGAAGCATGCAGGAAAGTTTTAATTTATAGTGAAACAATTAATTAATTAATTAATTAATTGGAAGATTGAATAGTTCAAAGATATATTGAAAAAAAAAAAAAGAATATGTGGGCTGGCTACTTGATAGAGATGGTGGGAGTTAAGATGGACGGTTGAGATCAACTGTTTGGGTAGATATTTTTGGGGGGATTCGTCTCCAGAAGCTTCTGTGTTAACTATTTTTTTTTAGCTTTTTTTGTCTATTTTTTTCTTACTTTTTGTCGTTTTTGAAATGGGAAAGGAAACCACAAAATAAAGTGATTATTTGATTAATTTCACATTTTTTATGTATAAAAAAAAGGGTGATAATTTCAAAAAAAAAAAAAACTTCAAAAAATATATATGGAGAGAGCTCATTTTGATAAGTTATTACACGTGAACACATATTCTCATGTGATAGCATAGTAGAAAAAATTTATAATATATGTAAAAAAGAGAAGAGTATATTTTATCTAGATATCTTCGTACGCGCTCAAAGTTGGTTAGAAACAGCTCAATTGCTTATCA